AACTTTATGTTCTAGAATCAATACTAAAATCAAAATATTGATACTTTGATGCTTAGTTATTTCACATAATGTTTATGATTAACAGGAAAATAGTGGAAAATAACTAAACTATTCCAATCTTGTCTTAATCATATGTGGTTGAAGGGAACTACTTTTTCTTCCGCTTGAGTAATGCATCAGCATAGTGGCATGTCTTCAGTCAGTCACTCAGTCTGTAGAAGTATGGCAGGCCATTTTAACATAAAATCTGTTTCGTCTGACTGTCTGTAATTACATTTTAGATGAGGGGTTCCCAAACTTTTTCATGCTATGGCCCCCCAAACAGCATTAGGTCTGGCCAGGGATCTTCTTGCAAACACACAAACAATGCTACAAAATATACAAAGCAACAACTTTTAGAATGTTTTTTCTCACTTTTAAATGGCAGTATCGAACATCACTACTGAAAAACAACCAGAAAACACTAAACACAGGAACCGAGAAGTGAAGACAAGTCAAACACAAAATTAATTCCAGGAYCAAAATAAAGAAACACCAGAACCGTGATACTCAGAATTCATGAGTAGAAAACATCAGAACAGTTTCTCCCCACACTGAGTCAGGTTTGAGTCACAGAGAGGCTCCTCCTGGAGGTTTGCATTAAACAATAAATAACAGTGTTTAATATTTCAACTTATTTAACTGAGATCAAACAGGTAACTTCTCACTTCCTGTTCCTGACAGAAACGTAGCTGAGGAACACTTTCCTGTGTCCTGCTGCTCCCATGTAAGACATGTACAGGGAGCATGTTGTTTAATGATGAAATGTCACTCAGGTGGATCTGGGCCGACGCTCCGGCTGACAYTCCAACAAGAACTTTAAGCTTCTGGAAATCTCCTCTGAAGCAAATCTAATAAAACTATTAGAAGCGAGAAAATGAGAAAATGATACTTTTTGGCAACATAAATGTACCATATCATAGATGCTGAGTGATGAAGGAGGAGCAGGTCAGATGATGTCCTCTGAAAGGWTGTGAGGGACACACATGCAGCCGTCAGTCAGCTCAGTTCTTCCTCACTGCTCAGGTTCTATATTTGCTTCTCTAAAGCCATGGCAACACCCCGTTTTTATTTTCTTTTTTTACAAACCTCAGATTTTATTTACATTTCTTCTACCTCCACTATCAGAGCCTCATAATTCAAACCCCAGGATTGTTTAGAGCAAACACAAATTACTGTCTGTCAAAATAGGAATCCAGGTTTTGACGCCTAAAGCATAAAATGTGTATTTATGTTTCTCCACATCTGCAAGACTGTAATCAAAACGTTACAATAAATGTGCTGCTGGCCACGGCAAAACCAGGAACAAGTCTCCCCGGGGCCGTTTTGAGTTACTTACAGAATCCGAAATTGTGAGTTCTAAACTATCTAATGATGTCAAACATGATAATAAAGAAAACAAAAAACAAAACAAAACAACAACACAAAACAAAACCAAAAAAATGAAGAAGATACGGCCATTTGAATGTTGGCAATCTGCGAACAAGATTAGGGAGAAAACAGGCCTTAAAGTTTCTGAGGAATTGTCTAAAAACACATTTTTAACTCATTTTGGCTTTTAACTCATCTGATTTTATTTCATTCTTATTGGTAGTGATTTTATTATTTTTATTGCTTTGTTTTATTATATTTCTATTTAGTTTTTAAT